TCATATCTTAATCCTCTGCTGAAACCCCCAAAGACTCCCCATCTCATTTCTAGTAAAATGCAAACCCCTTACCCGAACCATGATCTACCCCCTGCCTACCCCTCCAGCTCCTCTCACCTGGCTGTCTCCTCATGTGCCACCTTCAGCCACTCTAGCCTTCTTTCTGTTACACACATGCACCTATCCTCCGTGTACTGCTCTTCCCTCTGCCTCATTTTCTTTCTTGTCCTGTTAGTCTCAGCTCTGCAGAGAGGCTCACCCTAACGCACCTGAAATCAGTTCCACCCAGTCACTCTCCACCTTTTTGCTTTGTTTTCTTCACAGGTATTGTCCAGGTCACAAATTGTCTTGTGTCTGGGTTTATTCCTTGCTTACTTATTGCTTCCCACTGGAATGTAAGCTCCCAAGGGCAGGTACCTTGTCTGACCTGGGTTACTGCTCTATTCCCAGCACTGTAGTGGTAACTGGCACATAGAAGTAGGTGCTTGGCAACTATTGTTTGGCTAAGAGAATGAATGAATGATTCAAATCCTAGCATCTGGAGGCTCCAGGGGAACCAGTAGACCTGGTGGGAATCCTTGCTTTGCTACTGTTCCCCTACATGGCCTTGGGCAAACGGACTCCCTCTCTTCCCCCAAGTCTTCACTCAGCACCTGCTGGTTGCCCAATATTGAAGAACTGGGTGAAGCAGGAACAAAATGTGGCTCCTGCCCTGAGGGCTTGAAGCCTAATTAGGGAAACAAGTCTAGATATGAGAAAAGAAGACCAGCTTTCCAAGTTAGGACTTGAACACAGGGGTGCAAGGGGATGAAAGGTGGGAGTGAAGGGCCAGGGGCCATTTTTGTCACTGATGCTGTTGAGTGATGTCAGGCCAGTTGTCAAACCTCTTGGGATGTCAGTTTCTTATCTGTGAGGCAGATCACTGTCAAAGACGGCCTTGGGGCTTACTGAGTCCTATTTTAGAGGTAGGTAAACAGAGGCCTGGAGTGGGAAAAGCTTTGCCTAGAGTCACAGGGTGAATTTGTGCCCGAACCAGGGTCTGTGCACTCTAGTGAGATACTAGACCTTTTGCTCCCCTGTAGCACCAGTCACCTGAACAGTTCCAGCTTCTCCGGGAATCAACTGGCATCTGGCCCTTATCCCACAGCTCAGAGAAAGTGCTGAGGGCCCTGGGTGTGCTCCTCCTTCCCTCACAGCAGGAGGGGCCCACATCTGAGGGACTGCATCTCCAGGCTGCAGCCCCTTGGGCCCAGCTATGAGCCTACCGCCACTCCCCAGATTTTGCATGAACAAAGCCTTGTTTCTGTGGGAAAGACCCAGCACAAACAAGGCCCGCACAGGCCCTTTCTCCCTTAACCTGCTCTGACTCCCAGGGAGTTTGCCTCACTGATTCCCACATTCCCAAAAACCAGTATTCACTGGTCTCCATATTCAAAGTAACCAACAAGTGTTTCCTGAGCATCTACTATGTTAAGCCCTGCCCTATTGACTGCAGATGCATCTGTGAGACAACAGACTTTCTCCCATGAATCTTACATGTAATGAGAGAGACAAATATACACATACTACTATTACATAACATTTGGGTAATGAGTACTATAAATACATATAACAAGGAAGGAAGATAGTAACCAGGACGGAAGGCTCATGGATAAGGTGACATGGTCAGAGATGAAGTGATAGGTCACGGAATAAATGTATATATCTGGGTGAGCATTCTAGGCAGCAGGAACAGAAAGCCCAGTGGCCCTGAGGTATGAGGAGGCTTGGCATATTTGGGGAACAGCAAGGAGGCTCATGTGTGGGAATGTAATTTGCTCGTAAGAGAATAAGAGGGAGATCACGTTGGAGGGGAAAGAGGAGGAAGGAGGGGGTTTGGGGCAGATCATGTGGGGACTCGGGGTCCTGGTGAGGATTACAGGTCCCACTCTGTGACAGGAGTAGCCATTAAGGAATGAAATGACCTGGTGTAGATTTTTAAAAATTACTGGTCACTGTGGGGGAAGTGGTCTATAAGAAGGACAAGCAGGAAGATGGGCAGTAGACTACTGCAATAATCCAGGCAAGGAATGATGGAGTTTTAGATTTGGGCATCTGTGGTGAGAAGCAATTGAATTCTGCACATATTTTGAAAGTATGACTGACAGGGCTTGCTTCTGAGTCAGACATGGGATGTGAGAGAGAGACAGTGAGAGAAACTCCTCTGATGGTCCTGAAGGTGAAGGTCCTCTTCAGACAGAGTGAGGCTTGGCAACACACTTCCTTGGGCATTGTGCCTTCTAGCCTTCAACCACCCAAGAATGGCAGGGCCACGTTGTCAACTACCCCAAAGCAGACAAGAGACTAAGAGGCCTCTCCAGGCTGCAAACCCAAATCTCCTAAATTCATGCTCTCTAGAGCATGCCCCATCTTCCCAAGGCCCCAGCCAGTTCTTACGTAGAGACCCTCTGTCCTTGTTCCCTCTAGGGTCCTGTCCTGCCCTCTCCCTCAGGCCCTTGGG